GACCATTGATGCGACGACAGTCAAATGTCATGCAATCGAACATCTACAAGATAAACGAATAGTCAGTTGATGGGCTTCCTTCACTAGCTGTATGATCATTGCTTGAAGCCGGTTGTCATTTTGTTCGTTGTCGTAGCGATCCGGTCGTGCGCTCATCATCAGATGTGGCGATGCTGAAGATTTGTTGGATAAATGAATATGTTTGTAGGCTGTAGCGTTTTTTGTGGTTTTTGAATGGATTGTGACTGATGTGCTTATCGCGAGAAAGTGAGACTTCTTTTTTGGGATGGGGGTGCAAGTTGAATTTCTTTGTCTACCTTTTATATGATGATCGATAACTGATTTCCTCTAAATGCTCTATAAATTGACTTGTCTCATTTGCCAGAGAATTGATAAGAAATTTCTAAATAGTTGGTAAATCGTATTCGATTTTCCAAGTTGAATGGGTGATTTTTTTCTTTCTTCTTTCACATCTATTAAATCCTACGGTGGAACAAGTTGCTCCGTAACAGATCTCTGCTGGTTTTAGTATTTAACATCGGAAATATTAGTAGATTCGGAAAGTTCTCTCAGTTTTTGCAAATCAGCATATTCTTCGAGAATTATTGTTGCTGTATGACAGTTGGAGACCACAAAGAAGTACTGGAAAGGATCCTGGATTGCCTGGTTAAGACAAAGTCGCTTTCCACCGCAATTTTCTGAAGATCACAGAGCCACTCGGTCTTGTTAGTATTTCTCATTTTTATGTCTGAATTTAATATCTTCCAAAAATGTACTTGGTTCTATTAACTCAAAGATATGATCCTAATAATTCACATTTATTTTATTATTTTTTAAATAAAATAACAGTCGATCAACACGTGAGCGATGTCTAATTTGGTTTTCATTAGTAAAAGATCCATACTGTCATCCAATAAGCTGAAATAATATAACCCACTCAACTTCGAACTTCCATAGCTTTAAATAATGGTGAAAAAGTTTATCATCAGCCATTTTCACTTTACAAGTCTTTGATTATCAGCATTCTCACTCAAATTGTTCTTCCTCATCATCTAGAAAATTGGTGAGGATTTTCTAGGAAATAGAAAATAATCCGAGTTTTTGATTTCGAAAAGTCTATATATAAAGTCCCTAAGAATTTTCTAGACAGAAATTTGCTGAGGATTTTCTATAAATAATTCCCAACAATGTAGAGAATGTCGATTTTCCACATTATTGGAAATTCGATTTTCTATAATCTGGAAAATCCGTGAGGATTTTATATATGGACTTTTTGAAAATCACCGAGCATTTTCTATAAATAATTCCCGACTTTACAATGTAGTTTACGAATTAGAGAAATTCTAATTATCAGACATCAAAACTATATTATTTTGATGTGCCACTATAGGGCAAAATCAACAAAGCTGGCAAGCATTTGTCCAATACATATACGGAAGCAAACTTTTGAAATGATACGCTCTAGTGCATTTTGTAGCTTGTGAAATTCTCTACCGAATGATATATAAAGTGGAGTGGTTAACGAGAAAATAAGTGAATATTATAACCATGAACGACGTTGACCTACCGGTTTGCTGAGGTGCTACCGAGTATGTCGGATCTTAGACTATCCAGTTTTATTTTCTTCTGACTCTCCTATATTTCATTTCGTAACCTATAAAATTCTCTACCAAATGGTGTGTAATAGTTGATAGTTGCTTTAAGTGAAAGAGATGGAATAATGAAAATACTGTGAATAAAGTTCATTTAACGAGGGAAACGTTTTGTTTGCAAAAATGTATCCTGAAGGCACTGAAAAGGATTTGGAAGTTCTGCAATATGTTAGGATTAATCACGGACAAAAACTACATAAGATCGGTTAATTGAAGACTGATCTGTGCGGCGGCCGATTATGGCTCTTATCGAACTCCGTCCTTTAAAGTTATAATATCATTTCTAGATCCACTTTGAGCACTAGAAGAGATGTTTCTATGATTTCTAACTTTCTGAATATCGTTAAAGTACGTTGAGGTTACTAAAAAACTATCGTTGTGAGCTTTGAGCTAGTTTTCGTATTTCTTAACTTCATTTTCAGTTGTCTGTTCAGAAGATACATACATAGCTTTAACATTTTTAATTTATGATAAATGGAAGCGTACTTGCACCAAATGTTGTATCAACAACTAGAAGTATACTTTCACTTAACATATGAAATGCATGCACAAGCATCTTTGAAAGCTGTTACAGAGTTACCGTTCAATTATAAATTATAGAACGAAGAAGTTAGCAGCATTTTCTAATGGCATTCATTCGACAGCTTCGTAAGTTTTCAATTGGAAAAAATAAATTGTTTTGTTCGTCAATAAGATCAATAAATCTTTCATTAAGTATTGTTGCTGTATTGATGAATGAGTTAGCTTGAATTCTCCTCAACAAGTTGAATCTTTTGTGAATTGTACTTTTAAATGTGTGCATATGCCGTTAAAAAAGTAAGCAGTTCGAGCGGCACTTTTTCTGTTTTGCTGCCTCTAAAATTTCATATGAAATGAGACTGCAAACAGAATTTATGTTTTCTGTATCTGACGTAGTAAATAAAGCAGCATGAAATAAAATTATTTGCATCCTCTTTCTCTTCAACATTTGTTTGCTTGCTGTTCATGTTATTCTCAGAAGTAAATGGATCTTTTACGTGTTCTTTTTTTCTACTCTGCTCTACTCAGATGCACCTATATATTTACACTTACACAACATCAACTGTATGTTTTGATGTCTGATAATTAGAATTTCTCTAATTCGTAAACTACTTTGAAAAGTCGGGAATTATTTATAGAAAATGCTCGGTGATTTTCAAAAAGTCCATATATAAAATCCTCACGGATTTTCCAGATTATAGAAAATCGAATTTCCAATAATGTGGAAAATCGACATCGATTCTCTACATTGTTGGGAATTATTTATAGAAAATCCTCAGGGACTTTATATATAGACTTTTCGAAAATCAAAAAGTCGTTATAAAAAGTTGTTAGGATTAATCACGGACAAAACTATATAAGATCGGTAATAGAAGACTAATCTGCGAGGGGCCGATTTTGACTCTTATCGATCTTCGTCCTTTGAACAAATAGAATAGATCAATGATCAATATATTTCCCGAATCAGATAAATACAACAAACGCCACTTAAATATTTTCAATTATCAATCGACATCAGAACAGCCATTGTAGGCTCTGCAGATGTTGCCGTTGTAACTGCCGATCAGGGCTAAGACTAAAACCCTTAACTCTACGTTGAGCTACTTAATGTAAGGTGTCTAATGAAATGTTACAATTTTATAGGGAATATTTTAGAGGTCCAATAGAGCAGCAAAAACACCATGAATGTGACGTAGAGTACGCATGCTTGATAATAAAAATATAATAACATGCTGAGCATCGTTCCAACAACCCGAGTTCATTTTCAGAAAAGCGAACTCTTTTACTTTTTAAGTGAATAAATGTTGGTTATTAAAGTGATTGTTGAACTCGAAATAACCGGGCGGTACAGTAAAGGAAAATGTTTCACCTCCTAAAGTCATTTATCACTCACCATCACAAAAGTCACCGACAAGTTAGCTATTATCTAAGTCAAAACAGAATGGAGCACAGTTTTCTGAATAATTCGTGATAAACAAGTAATAGAGTCTGGCGGTTTCAACTGTTCTGTAATAAAAATCGGTGGACATTTATCTTTGGAAAACAAAAATTTTTACATCATCTGTAGGTGGTGTACCGCAAGCACACTTTTTGGTAAGCTGTCGTTGAAAAGTGTCCAGTGTACTTTCACTTCAAATTTTCATAACCTACATGTGTACTATGTGCATAGAAAGTTTCAGCCTTCTATATCTATATGCTGTTAAGTTATCGGGTGTTTCTGAAAGTGATTTCTTGACGTTGGGGCTTTGTTAAAGATTCTGTCGCTTAAATATAGTACACATGTGGGAATATTCTAGAAAAAATTTTCAGCTTTTCGTACCGTACTTGGACTTAGTTATGAATTTTTCAATATTCGCGTCAAAGCACAAATCCTTTTAGGGTTTTTACTACCACACTGTACACTATCGATCAGCAAAAGATCGCTGAGATCGGAATTTGACACCTCAGAAGGCTGCGTCGTTAGCTCAAATGGACTTGACCGATGCTTCCATTTCAAAAGTTACTGTAATTTTTATCATCAATCGCAGAGACAGATCCGCATAAGTGTCTGTCGTTTGTAATTTTCGAATACACGTCTAGTTTACGCGGTGATTTAGCCTTGATGTATTTCGTTTTCTCAATTTTTATGACAATCCGTAATTTTCAAGAGGAATCAACGACTTTTTTTGAATAACATACTTTAAACGTTGTCAGGTGACGTCATAAAATTTGTCGGACACGCTTCATTGTGTCTCGAAAAATGTGGAGTTTCTTATGAGCAAAGAACGAGAACTTTATAGATTTTTTAGCATAAAGATTTTTACTGTGAAAAGATCTTTGGAAAACTTGTTCGAAAAAAATATCACACAGCTCATTCTGCTCATTTTTTCGGGTACTTTTACGGCGTGTATTCGAAAATCATATGTGGTTTTGCGAAAAACTGCGAAAATTTAAGACTGTTCTTTTAAACCGTCCCAAAGTTCTCCAAGTAATCTATTTTTTAAATATGGTCCTCACCTTTTCGTTACAGTATACTGGCGGTATGTTTTTCTCTAAAATTCTTCAGTAGTAGATGAGATGTAGTTCCTTTCAACACACTATGCATTTCCTTGTACTCATTTAGAGTTTAATAATGTGGTTTTAAAAAAATATGATATACCCTCGTTTCTTTTTTATACGAGAATAAACAAGATCCCATACGACAGATTTTATACATTTAAATTTACACTCTTTATTCATTTTTAACAGTAGAAGAAATATACAAAACAACAATATTATTAAAAACATCAAATATAATGTACAGAATTTAAAAAGCCAGTATTAAAAAATTAATTTGTATTTGTCCTCTTTTCAAATAACTGTTGATGGTATTAACAATTTTAATCCGTCATTATCCGTAGATGAATTAATTTTTTGTTTTATCTTCCAAATATCCCATAATTCACAAATAATTTCACATGCTACAATTTTATTTGTATTTTTTGATATTATTCTCAATAATAATAGTCCATCTTGTCGACAATAATCTTTTAAAAATAATTTTAATTGTTGTGGTGATGAATGATGTGAATGAACTTTTAAATATTCTTCAATAAATTGTATACGTGATCGTATTGTAAAATAATAAAACCATTTTAGTAGACCATAAATCGATACTATTGCAACAAATGTTAACCAAAACCAAAGAAATAAGAAAATTTTTTCATTATATATATTAATTGATAATAAACATTGAACATCATAATTTTGAATATTATCAGCTAATGTACGAATTGTAAATTTACACATTGTTACACGTGGAAAATATTCTAAAAATAAAAATAAAATTTAAAATTTATTTAAACGAAATATAAATAATAATATTTACCTAAAGTTAACATTTCTGTTTCATAATACCATTGTTTCAATGCATCTAAACCATATCTTGAATATGTTTTTCCAATAAAAATATTTAACAAAAATAATTGACCAATACTATTAAAAATATATAAAAATTTTACAATGATATAGACACCTGTTAAATAATTTCCAGTACGAATATGAGAAAAGAGTCCATTATCTGGTTGATGATGATAAACTAATGCTTTATCAATATGTCGAATAAGTGTACGAATTTTAGGTTGACGTGATTCAGGATTTAAATGATCTAAATTTTCAATTAAATTTGTTAATGTTTTTGTATTAACACCACATGAACGATTAACTGATACCCATATAAAACTAGGTAATGAAAATAACATCATCATACCAAGTAAAATAAATGGAACCCATTGATAATAAATTCTTAAAAAATAGTCAAAAAAAATAATAAAATTAATTAGATAAATCTAAACTATAAAATGATTGATGATATTACAGTTACTTACACTTTATTTGGTTTTATCTCATATCGATTTGGTAATGATTTTTCAAATGGTAAATAATATGAATTACCCGATATCCAACAAACTTGATTCACATATGACATATGATTTCCTTCGACATTTTGTGTATAACAATTAATTGGATCACCAATAAATTGACATGTTGAGATGATTAAAAATGATATACCAATGATAACGACAGAGTATCGACGACTAATACGATCAAAAAAGTCATCATTACGAATTGTTGGTGAACCCAATTTATTGAATGCTTCAGTTATTAAATACAACGACATCTAAAATTGAAAGTAATATAAAATCAGATATATATTAATGTTGACAAAATAGTCAGTTTCGACATGCAAAAGAAGCATTTTATAATGAAAATATCATCACTAATATTTTAACTATGGAATAAAAGTACGATAAAATTGGCTCAACATTTCTTGCATGTTTCATTCTTAACGAGACAGAATATGTACATTTATTCATATTGTACGGTCATAACTCTAGTATCAAACATTTTCGTAGACACATCTATTTTATTGCTATTTCATACAGTATCTCTCTTTACGAGCAGTTACCGTACCTTAATCATTTCACACACAGTTATTGTATTTTATATGACCAAGCAGTGGCTCATGGGTTTAGATCGATCTCTATCGAGCTGACTTTTTTAAAATTTACAAAGTACATGTGCTGTTATCAACAGTGTTGGATAATTTGAAAAGAATCTTAAATTTGTTATATTTCATCGGTTAAGAGAGTTTTGAAGAAATACTTTTAATTTAGCTTAAGAAAGTGTGACTTTTAAACTTTGTATAAATATTGGTTGTAAATTCCCATCTTTCCATGAACTTTTGAAATATTCTAAGAAATCACTTTGCTAACAAAAGAAAAAGCTTCAATAAACATTCTAAATTTTCACTTATTTGGAAAAAATATATCTTAGATTGGTAAAACTATAGTTCTACTCTACTTCACCTTATAAACAAAGACCGTTGAATGATTATTATGTTTCGAAATGAGCGTCTGTTAGATGAACTCAGTTAGTTCATACGTTCATACAGTTTGTACTGTATAGTTTGTATACAGTTTGTACTATATTCGTCGTTATAGACAAGAAAAAAAAGTGTACAGCAGAAGAGAAAAAAAGAAAATGGATTGACCACATTTGACGTATTATTGAACACTTTTAACAATTTTTCTCTCTTTATACGCTCTTGTCTTCATACCTCATATTTTTTTGTTCGTCGTCTGTGCTCAAGGACATAAAAAACCAATAGTCTAGAAAGAGAAACATATGCAGAACATATCTTGAACATTCAAAACATATTATTAAATATCATTTCTTTTTACAGTACATACAGATACATTTCCACTAAGCATACTTATGAATTCTCTTGGTGTTATCAATCTTTTCCAACTAATTTGAAAAGCGTTCTGTTCTGCTGACTTTCACATTTTCTCTGTTGAAAATCACGTCACAAATGAGAACATGTAGAATCAGTTATGCTACTGAGATACTTTTCATCGAAATCCTGTAACAACACTTTTTGACAAAGAAAAAATCCTCTTATTTAATTCAAAAAAGTTGAATTAATAAAAAAACAGAATGCAGTTTAGAAAAAGATTCTGGTTACCACTAGTGTCATGTGTTACTTTCCTGTGTCTATATCAATTTCTTACTCCGTTTTGACTTCTATTTCTTGTACGTCGATTACTTCCAAGACATTACGATTACATCACAGCGAATTGTTAGATCAATTCCTTCAGATTTGACCATCTCGGCACTTGTATTGTTCTGTTTGACAAGCTTGTTTAGATCTCTTTTATTCATCAGTCCATAGACAGGAATCAATTATCGCGAAGTTCAGGCTTATTACATCAGAACTGTTTCTTTTCTTTGAGAGAATTAATAAAGAGATCGCTCTCGCATTAATCGAAAATTCTTTCTTTTCATCCATTGTATGTATTTATTTTTGTGTTTAAACTGGCAAATAGATAACACGTGCGAGTATAAGACGATCAACAAGACAATAACTAAACAGACTGAACTCGATGTCCTCATCTGTTTTTTTTTCCTTGCGCATCGACAAAGAAAATTTCAAATGTGTATAGAGGTAAAAATCTTTTGTTATCCATATTGATAGATAAATGATCAAGATGAAGAGCTGTCTACGAACGGTTACGAACATCTATAGATATGTCCGTCTAAGACGAATGTCTGAGATACACGACTGCTTTTTATGAGAATATTTAATTAACAGAACGCTCTGCTAGTATAATGTTAATACTAGTATAGGCGCTAATACATCATTTATTAGCTTTAACCTGTCTTTCCTGTGTGCTGAGATATAGAAAGTAGTTACTTTGGTCAAAAATATACCGCCTTTGTTTTTTTATTTGTTCTACTTAAATGAAACTATCATGCAGTTAGACATGTTAGGATTCTATTATTGACAGGACTATTGCAGCGATGTAATGCTTGTGGACACAATCTGATTCACCAGCGTTCTTTCTGTGCTTTTCTATACTTCTTCACCGTTTCATAGCGCTCTCGTGTGTTCTTAATATTAATTGGTGGTTATCTTAGCCTATTCGAAAATATTTTTATGAATTAGTTTTATTTTTTATTTTTTTTCTTATGTTAATTTATTTCTTATTTATTATATATTGCTTTTTATATTAAATCTCTGATAGAGAAGACATTTATCGCCTGGAGAAATTCAGGTATACTGTTTCTATAGAGGTACATAGCAGAAACAAAGAGTAATGATGTATACACCGTAAAAATGAATGCGTACGAGGAGGGAGTTTCATAAAAATTCTTAAGCGCTCGATTTAACTAAGTCTAGACTTAAGTTTTCTTTTTGTACACTTACATGTTAGCTTTATACACTTAAATCTGACTTAAATCTAGACTTAATTAAGTAGAGCGCTTAAGAATTTTTATGAAACACCCTCGTATGTCTATTTATAGCATAGACTGACTGCAAAATAAGCTAATTTAAATTTTCATTGGTTCTTATGCTTCTAAAAGTTCACTCATGTTTTTGATTGTGCAACAACATTCAAGGTTAATTTAAGAGGAAAAAAGAGAGACAATACTTTTCCACAAGAGCTCAGTTGTAAATAGCTGTGAAAACATCGGTCTTTCTGTTTTAGATGGCTCTTACATACCATAGTGTACCGGAGGTGTTAGTTGATGCATTACCCTACTTTGATATTGGTTATGAAGACACGGGTGTGCGAGAATCTGTACGTACATACAACTACTGTGATGATTTGTTTAATGTGCAAAATGTTTCGCTGTATTTAGGCGTTGGCTCTGGTTGAGGAAGAAACACGTCGTTACAAACCTACAAAAAATTATCTTGAACAACTAGGCCAACCGAACTATCATTCGTTCGAAGTACGTATCACGACGTTCTAAGAAATATACATTGCTTAAGAGAGAGATGTTGAAAGTATTCGGTTTCCTTTTTGAAGACAGAAGTGATGAAAAATGAATTTGAACGTCTATCAAATCGTTTACCAATGGATATGTTGAGCATGAAACGGTAGGAATAGAAACTAAAGTTAGCAGCTCATTTTACTCATATAATTCTTTGGTGTAGTTATGAATTACCCGTGCCACCGGCTGGTAAACAAACTGATGTAACAGCTTGGAACGAATGTGTTGAAAATTCGTATGCACAACTTGAACATCAAACAACAAGGTATGATTTCAAACAAAACTGATAAATTAGAATTTTGTTAATTGTGCCTTTGTTTTAGAATATTAAATTTAGAATTAATGTGGGATTATGGGGCAAATACATGGAAAATTTATAATTCAGCGTTACAAACAATGCTTGAACAAGCACAAAAACAATTGCTTGAATTAAGGTGAATAAATTATCTTTTTAAAGAATATATTTGGTTCACTTAATAAAACTAATTAAGTATCTATTTTTGTGTTCTCTCGTTTTAGAAAACGCGTTCAGGAAATAAACTTTCAACGTAAACATGAGCAAACACAAGCTGGCCATAAATTAAATTCTTTAGAACAAACGTACGTAACAAATTATATGTCCTGTCTTTCTATTTCTAATAATAATTTTTTGTTGTCATTTGTAGTTGGGTTGGTCTTGTTAGTAAAAATTATGAAATTGAATGTGCTATTGCTGAATTAGAAAAAGATAATCAAAATTTAAGAAAACGAAAAGAAGGAAAAAGAATTTAAAAAACATCGTTTTGTTTGTTATGTTTTGGATGTTGTACATACCTCTGTAAGCCTGTTGGTTTTACAAATTTTTTTTTGGTGTGCAATAAATATGTTTGACAAGTGTTAAATTGACTATAGCTATGCAAAAAAGGAGTTCGTCACAAATTGACGTTTAGTAAAAAAAAACATTGTTATTGAACGTGTTTATTAATTTGTGTAAGATTTCTGTTATAATTAAGCTGTCTTTGCGTGCAGACTTAACCGCTGGCGATAGTTCCAGTGAACAGACTACTATTGACGTTGTATCCTTTTATTTATATTTCGAAATCATATTTATTTTATGTTTTTATCCCTTGACAGACAGTTGGTTTCAGATTATAAATATGTCCCGTATTGATTTACAACCACCTCCATATGCAGATACAATTTTATTAATAAAACATTTTCCTTCAATATTTAATGATAGTGATCGTTGTGAATTTGTTCAACATTTTGGTGCTAAACGTATTCGAAGTTTTCATGATAATACAACATCAATTCTAAACGAACGTTTAAAAAATTTGATTATTGCTGATTTTGGTACATCGGTACAAGCTCGTCAAGCATTATATCGTTTACATCAATTAGAAATATTAAATAAACGATTGGTTGTCGAATATGCACGATTAGATTTAGTTCAAGAAGCATTTGCTCAACAAGATCAAGAAAAACTTAAAAAATTATTAGCAAAATTAAGTGGAAGAAAAGATGATGAAAATGAATTATTTGAACAACAATTACATGGTATTGATTTTTCTAAGCAATCATCATCTCTTCTTTCAAGTTATGCTAAATATTTTTTATTCTTTTATAGGTCTATCAGCACCAAATGATGTCATGTATCCCATTCGTTCAAATCTAAAATATCGTTATCCACAAATTAATGATCAAATTTTACAAAATATATCGAATGCATTATTAGCTGTACCACCATTTTATACACAAGTTATACATCTGATGAATAAAATGAGTTTACCTTGTCCGTTTGGCGGTAAAGTATTTATCGAACAAAATCGATGTTTTCTTTCAACTTTGTATAGTGAAAGTATTCGATGATTTTTATTCAATTTTAGGTCCAACTCCTCGTCGTCCTGGTGAAACGGTTAGTCAAGCATGTCAAGCTGATTATACTGAACTTCAAAAAGAGTTTTTAACTAACAGTGAGAATCAAACTAATGTCGATATGGAAACAGACACTGATGAAAGTGAATTGGGCGATGATCAAGATCTCGAAACAAATTTAAAACATAATCGTTTACAACGAAAAGCGAATTTAAATATTCAAAAACAAAGGTTAAAATCTTATCGTCAATCGAATATAATAAATAAAGAGAAAAGTAATCAAATTCACCTTGAGAATGTATTTGATGATTTATCAAATATAAAACAACAAACAACACCAATTGATATTAAATTACCAACAAATGTTGAATTAACAACAATTACAAAGTATGTTATTGTTAGGTCCGGTATACGTTGTTGTGTATAAGTAATTTATTACTGAACAAGATGATCTTTGCATAAAATTAGGAGCTATTTATACCTGAGGTTAAACGGAAACGGTGGGTTATAACCCAGAGCTAAAAGAATACATTGAAATATCTCTTGGAGAAAAGAAACAGTACAGAACGAAACCAAGAGATATTACTGGGAAATTTCCTGACAGAAAGAAAGAGAACAATACAGATACATATATGACAGGAAGAGAAAATACCCATAGCAGAAGAATAGAGAACGAATATATATATGACTATTATACAATTGTCTCTTATGGCACGTCTTTAATATGTGCCATAACAGTTATTTAATGTACTACCTTCACCTAACATTTTTATAGTAAATTTAACTTTCTCTTTTTTTTCATTTTTTTACAGAAAATTTGATCAATCATCGACTAATAATTTCACTGGCTTTGGTCGCATTGATTCAATTGTAAAATCTTCACTTGATAACACTATGATTGAAAACAACAATGATGGTGAACAGTTGACATCATATATTACATTATCAGAACTCGAAAAAAATCGTTTACCAACATCTGAATTACAAAAATTACCTGCCTATAAAAATTATGAACGTGGTGATGTTTCATATCGTTTATATCTAAAAAATATTTCAAAATTTGTTGATGAGAATGATTTAAAATATGTATATGGTCGATATATTGATTTTTCAAATATACAACATCAAAATACATTCGATATTCGATTGATGAAAGAAGGAAAAATGAAAGGACAGGCATTTATTACTATGCCAAGTGAACAATTAGCAGTAAAAGCTCTACAAGATACAAATGGATATATTTTAAAAGATAAACCATTAATCGTACAATTTGCGCGAACACAAAAAGCAAAACTTGATAAAAATACCATTTCTGAATAAAAACGAATTATTTTCTAATTTTCAGTCTTTTTTAATAATAAAATAGATTTTGTTGATATTCGATTGTTTGAATCATTGCGTATAATATTCAGTCAACTGATTTGGATAAAAATCTGAAAAGCCTTAATAGAAAAAATAAAAATTGTTCTTATCATTATCTTTGACTAATTTGGCATGAAAATTCCAATGTGAAATAATTAAACAATTTTTACTAGATATCAATTTTATTTATTCATCTAGATCAGTAAATTATCATTTCAAATAAAAAATGACTAGAGAATCGATATCCTCAAAATCTGATCAACTTTCTCGTAATACAAATTCTTCATTATTATTGACATGGTTAACAAGTTTATTTGGTGGTATGTTAATCTCGTCGTGTTGTGTAGTACAATTACTGTTGAATTTATTTTGTATTGGGTGTGCTGGATTAAATACACTATTAAAACCATATAGACTCTTTTTTATCACTTTTACATTAGCTAGTCTGATATATTCGTTCTTTAATCAATTAAAAAAACCAAAATCTTCAAGAAAATGGAAACAATTTGTGTTCATTTTACTTATCACATTTTTCTTATCTATAACACCGGAGCTATTAAAGATGTACAATAATTCATATAATTTAACAAATGATATGAATGATTTAACAACGACAAGTCAATGGCAGATAACGGGAATGGCATGTGAAGGATGTCGATCGGCTATAATACAAAGTTTAAAAAAACTGGACGGAATTTCTTCCATTGATATTGATTTAAATACTGGACTATGTCAAATAAGACAAAGTAACAAGATTGTTTTGGATGATAAACAGATTGAAAATGCAGTGAAGATCGCTGGATTTCAAGCAAAAAAATTATTAAACAATAGTTGAAATAATTTTTTTTTGATAAAGAAATGCTGATTCGCGAACGCTGTTAAAATATATAAAACTTTCTGGATCGTTGACAAATATCTTACACTATCTTTGATTCAGTGAAAAATAGATCTCCGTCGAGGAAGCGATTCGATCTGAAGAACTTAACTATTAAGATCGAAATTTTTATTATAAGTAGTACAAACATAAGACTAGGTCGATTTTGTTTTAGAATTTCAAAAATTCCTATTGTTTCGGTCAGGACAGCCAGAACACAAACTATTCGTCCGAAATCAGACTTTTTTTTAACTGTAGTTTTTTGAAATGCTTGCTTAATCAAAACCAACGGATATTTTTGAAATCCAAAACAAATAGATCAGTATTATGGTTGTAGTACTTATAATAAAAATTTCGAGCTTAATAGTCAAGTTCTTGGGATCCACAGAGGAAAAACATGATTTTAAGAAAATCGAAAGTCAATATTAAACTTCGTGTAAGAATGCAGAATAGATTGTTTTTTATAATGAAGAAATGATACCTATACGTTTCTAACTATGGTGACGAGGGAGCATCTCGAAGTATTCTCCTAGGATTTTGGAGAAATACGTGAGGCCTGGGAGAGCTAAGTGCTCTGATCAGGAATATGATATTTTTAGCTGCCACCGTTAACTCGCTGCTAAGTTATAGTTTTATTTTACTTTGGTCAAAAAATGACCTATTTTCGATCGATCACAGTTTTTTGCAGATACGTTATTCACATTCGTTTAATATGCTGTTTTGTTAAGGAACTCTTCATCTATAGTTTGGTATATGAGACATAACAATTCGAGCGTTGAAATTATACTTTACTAATAATAAACGTTAAAGTCAAATGTAATATATCATAAGAAATTGTTTTGAATTCACTACAAACTGACATATTTAAAAATACAAAATTATTTTTTTGTACAGGGATATAGGAGCAAAAAATTACGATGCATAGCAAAAGATACGTGTACAGTAAATGCTTACCTGTTTCTCGAATATTATAAGTCGCATTGTTATGTCCCATATACCGAATTGTAGATGAAGAATTCCTTAGGAAAACGGCATATTAAACGAATGTGAATAACGTATCTGCAAAAAACTGTGATCGATCGAACATAGGTCATTTTTTGACCAAAGGAAAATAAAACTACTCTAACTCAGCAACGAGCTAACAGTGGCAGCTAAAAATATCATATTCGTGATCAGCGTACTTAACTCTACCAGGTCCCATGTATTTCTCCAAAGTCCCAGGAGGACACTTCGGGACGTTCGCTCGTGAATCTAATAAGCATGTATAGGTACATGTAAGTTTCTTTTGCTAAAAATATTCTTTTGCTGCAAAATATGACGTTTTATATAGGTTTTGGACTCTTCTCATTCGACTGAGCATTTGAAAAAGTTTGAAATAAAATCATGAAGACAAAATATGATTTTTTTCGTTCTTCATCTCACGATATAGTACGGCACCATGAAAGATCAAGGTTATTTTCTTAGAAGATTGTATTCCGTATGTGATAAACAGATTATATTTTATGGCATATTTTGTGGAAAAAGTGTTGTTTTTGACAAAATAATTTACATGTGCAAAAGCATATGTCTTTGCGCATGCTGATTAGACTCAGCATAGTCAAAAACCTATATGCACTATTATTTCTAGCAACACTTTCTCATAGGTTATACAAAAATCGACAGTCTTAAAAATTCTGTAAGTCGATTTCTGTGAGCCTTCCCAAGGTCTCGTATTGAACCCAGATAGTTGTAAAACCATTTCCATTGAATAGAGCACAGTTAAAAGTTCATAAATCAGTGAAAAATCAAAAATCGAAAATATTCAAAATTTTTCACTTCAGAAACGGAGAGGTGCTTTTACACTTTTCTATTTTTCATTATATGTATCGTTAAACTGAGATGTTTGCAAAACATGTACATTTACTCAAAATATTAGCACTGATGTCTAGTTTTTATCTTTCTTCATCACACTATACATGAAAAGATCTTTTGACTTGTTTTTGGCATTGTGTCTGCATCTTGTCATCATAGATAAATTTATAGCCTTGTAATATTATAATTTAAGAAAAAGCATGTTTTATAACGCTATAACGCGCTTATAACGTTATAACGCTATAAATAGGGAAAAAAAGATTTCATGGGAAAAAGGCTCTCTAGTGGCAGCAAAAGAATTATCGGTACTTCAGGGTGACAGCACCGATTCTATTATCGATACTGCTAGCTTTGGTATGACTTTCATAATCGTCAAGACTTTTTGACAAGATTTTTTCTTGTTTTGTTTTTAACTAATTGTAGAAAGTTATAGAACCTTGTTAAGCTTTCTCAACCTGGATAATATTGATGTCACATTACCAAGTGAAGATGTCAGTTATTATTGAATCTAAATTGATGAGAGACTGGACTACACTTAGTTACATATTGATGAAAATAGTCGGCATTTCCAGTATTCATCAATTAACAAAACCACACGTATGTGAACAATTGTAATTTAATTTATCGATATGGTTTTTGATCTTCTGACAGATCAGTAGTCAATGCGCAGAAGTAAAATCCTGTGAAGTTAGTTGTTCGTTCTATGCAATAACGCAACAATCACATTCGATCACAAACAATCCTCCTATTTAATTGAAACTACAATGTTTCTTCTTATTTTCGCAAGACATTTTAACTCCATTGTCACCATGTGACATACTACAAAGTTTTTTCAATTACAAAACTTCAAAAATTAGAAATTATTTTTAATATTAAACTGGCATTTCTAACGATCTAGCTTTTTGCTCAGTGTGTTTTTTAATATCAAATTCATCAAGTAATTGCACATGTCTTTCCCGTCGACGCTCCGCTTCTTCCAGCCTATCAAATTTTGATTGAATTCTGTCCTAAAAAAATGAAACAGTAGCATATATTTGTATTAAAGGCAGAAAGATCATATACTTGATGTTCTTGTTCAAGTTTTGTGCACAAGTTTTTCATACATAAATGATCAAGCAACATGACAGTATCACTATTAGTCAAGTCAATCATTCGTTCTGCTACATGCCGTTGAAGCTGATTTTTTCTAAAAATGTAATTGTTAAATAGAACTGATGGATGATATTTGATCTTTCCCACCGACCTTGGTAATGTGTATGGAATCGCACAGGATCGTCTACATTCATCGACAATATTTTGTTTACTTAGTTTATCTAAAATGTTTTGAATTATCTCTAGTTTTCGATCATTCGTTAAACCACTTCGAACAATATGAGGTAATGATTCTTGTTTTGAGCCGTCAACATCCTCTTTATCGTCAAGGGCAAGTCTAAAAACAATATTATTTGTTAGAGAATTTATTGAATTTATTGATACATACCTGAAGGGCATTGTTTCTAAAAATTCATCAGTAATTTCCCAAGGTTTCTCGTTAACTTTTGCCTGATGTAATTGTCTTAATTTCAATAAACTTTCTTCGGGTAAATGAAGTGATTCGCTGATAGAGAGAAAGCGTGTTGCTCTATTCGTCATAGATGGTGGTACCACTTCTTGTTGGCTATCACCACTTTGAGTCGAAGAAGATGTTGTTGAACGTTGACGGTTTAATTTTTCCATTCGTTGTTGTATATTTGGTAATTCCACGAAAACATCATTATTATTATCTGATTCCGATTCATCTGTATCATCATTAGTTGAATTTTTTTCAGCAGGTATGCGATCTCGTTGATTAATATTCAATGAATTACCCAACACAAGCGATTTAAGGACATTGTTGGCAGCCATATTTTAAAAAAATGTTTAGAAATGATGCCTTCTTTTCAAGACAGTAAAAACATCTACAATCTCAACAGCCTTTTCCAATAGAGAGATAACAACAGCTCCAATTACTTGTGTACTGTGCATCAGTAGAAACCGATTGATGTTTTTTTCTTTTTTTAAAAAAACGGCGCCATTTTGATCAGTTGTTCTGATAGTTTTTCTTATTAATTTTTTGTACAACACTTTTCAAATCATAGTAATCTGATTATGTTTGTTATCAAGAAGATTAAACAAAAATACCCAAAACAAACTATAACAGAAATCGATTATTCATGTAATTAAATTAAAAAAATTAATTAAATAATTAGCGATTTACCAGTAGCTCAAAAACTTTTATTGTCACAACCATTCTCAATTCGATTCTTCATATGAAAATATAATGATAAACATAGTTTTTCATTCTTTCATGTCTTTTACTCGCTAACTAATTAAATTTCAAGAAATATTCGTCAAAAATTTTTCAGAAAGATGCGGCGTTGACTTTATCTATGATTGAGCCATCGCTTCAAATCAGGTTTTTCTAAACAACATTTCATTCGAGCAAGCACAAAACACCAGAATTACTTTATCTTAACTTATCGAAGTTTTCCTGTGGAAAATTGAGTTTTATAATATTTCAGGTTTTTTAAACTCAAAAACTTCTGTTTAAGCCGTCTCTTTAAAAGGGTTAAAAAGTATGAATCTTTAGTGATAATAGTTGCATCTGGTAGAGCATTCAATACTGCACAAGATAAACAGAAAAAAGTTGAATTAAAGTAGTGCCATGTGTAGGAAAAGTATGCATCCATGACCGAAAGACTATAGATAAGATGATTCGTACCCCTCCGCTCACCTTTAGCAGAATTCAACTTAGTCCACAGAGCAATCATTCTCTTATTCATTCAATCGGTCGTACGTCTTTGGTATTTTTTTCTTGCATCATGTTCAGTTGACATAGTCAATGTCGTAAATAGATTATATAAGGCCCCTCTCCTCTCAGAAACCTGTTTTTGTCCCAGAACAACCGATCTGGCTGAGATTTTCAGGGAATGTGTGTCCAGTCCTGGACAGTTCACAGTAAAAATTTGCGCAAAATATTGAGTTGTTCAAGAGTTATCCTAACATTAAGGGTCAAAAAGTACATGTCCGCGTGAAAGGGATTTCTCCTCCAAATCTAATGGTAGAGATTTCGGGTTGGTGTCAAAATGTAGCCAACACTGACCGCTACAACTTAACAGAGCCCGATTTTTTAAAACTTTTGCTTATTCATTTTTGGTGAAAATGTGTTCCAAAAAATCCAAAAAATTAGGGCTGCACCAGGGAAAAAACTCATTTTCCTCAAAAACTCTAAACCGGAAATAAAAACCCAGCGCTGTTAAATTGTAGTAGCAAGTGTTGGCTACATTTTGACACCAACCCGAGGTTTCTAGCATGTAAAATAGCCGAGAAATCTTTGACGCACGAACAGGTAAAAACAGAAAAATACATGTCGAGAAAAACGCACAAGTTTTGACATTTAAATTAAAGTTTTTTTCTTCATAAAACGGTATACGAAAAAGTCATTCGGAGGGAGTGCAAGGATGTACGACGCGCTTTGGTCGGTATATGCTGGTCATATTTTCAGTGTCGGAAACCCATGAAGCAGCTCAAAAGACTTCAATGACTGAAGCGTGCAAACCACTTTTCTAATTATGGGTGTTTCAGAAAAAAAACTCTGTAACACCATAGTAAAACCAATAAATGATAGTGCGCTCGAAAGTAGAAAATGTGGGCTAGACAACCAGATATAAAGCTCAAAAATCAGATTTTCTGGGGGAAGGGGACCCTTAAAAAAAATAAATAAATACACAACTGATTTTTGCGCGCAAAAAAGAACTTTTTTTTCTCTAATTTAGAAAATGTTCTCTATTCTCTAACTACAAAGAACCTCTCACTTTATCCTATTCTCGTGTTTACTTCTTTAACAGCTTTCATTTTATGAACACAGATTTATTATCGTCATCGTTATCAAAAAATCTGATATTTTCTGACATTTTCAATGATACAACGAAATCACCACCTTATGTAATTCATGTGATTATTGGATGTAGTGCATTCGTTTTATTTCTCGTATTTATCAGCGTTTTTTTCATTATTCTAATTTTAAAAAATTATTTGCAAAAACTCACCATAAAATATCAACTCCAACCACTGATCGGTAGAATTAAATCGATTCATCACTATGCAAAAGGGTTATCACCGACCGATTCCGACTTACCTTATGTGATCTATTCAGAAACATCGTTGAGAGATGGACAGAAGAGTTATGTTGTGGATGGCAAACGAGTTTACAGAAGACCGAGTATATTGACAATACATTCAATAAAAAAATTGCAGACATTAAAAGAGAAATTGAAGCAACAACAACGACAACAAATTTAGTCACTGATCTAATGAAAGAAGTTATATTTTACGTTAAACAATCATAGATTATACGTTCTTTCACGGTTTTAGAAGGGTCGCCTCAAGTGTCAAACCGTTTTTTGAATAAAACACATGTACACATACGTTGATGGGGCTGGTTCCGAATAGGATAGTCGGAATCATCCATAGACCTCTGAAAAAAATGAGAGATCGACGTCTGGAACAAACGCTCTCCAAATGCTATACTTTTTCGATCAATAGTAATTTTTAAGATTGTTGGTTTGCAGATCAACTCAAACTATGCATATCAATGAATCTTTTTAGAATAGTTCGGACAGAGTTATAAACATCTCAAGTTCAGATCCTGATCAATAGTTAGGCTAGAAGTAGTATTACTGGAAAAATAAAAGAAGAATAGCAGAAAAAGTTTACAGTAAATGCGAAACAAATTCGAGAAGTGTATAAAACTTGAATTTCAGTTGCAAGCACTCATTATTACATTTATCTCTATCATGTACTTCGATTTCTCACCAAATTTGTGATCTTTGCTTATCTCTAATCACTCATCAGGATCTGAACTTGAAATGTTTATAACTCTGTCCGAACTATTCTAAAAAGATTCACTGACATGCATAGTTTGAGTTGATCTGCAAACCAACAATCTTAAAAATTACTATTGATCGAAAAAGTATAGCATTTGGAGAGCGTTTGTTCCAGACGTCGATCTCTCATTTTTTTCAGAGGCCTATGGATGATTCCGACTATTCTATTCGGAACCAGCCCCATCAACGTATGTGTACATGTGTTTTATTCAAAAAGCAGTTTGACACTTGAAGGAGAACGTTCGTTCTCTCGTCCAATCTAACACTATTATAATTCGTATAGGAGTTATAATAAGATTTCCAGTTCTAAAATGGCTTTAACGAGTTCTGTCTTATTGGATGATAATTCGACCACGGATGATCCAAGTGTGGTTGTTTGTTGCAAATCTTCAGATTCGTTAACACAAAAATGATGCTTTATGATCAATAGTCATTAGTACGAAAACGATATCAAAAAAATGTTCACGTATTTTCGTTCTCTCTTTCCGTTATAAAGCATTAGAAGGTTGTTTTGGTGCTGATCTCGAACGTTTACTAATATTAATTCTGATTTATTAGTCTACTCAAGGCTCAAGTAGATATCAGTTTCGAAAAATAATGTGACACATTAAATGATAAAATAGAGAAGAAAAAAATAAATTTTTCAAATATTTCCATTTTAATTGTAATATTAATCATTATTCTATTTTTCATAGATTTTTTGTCTATTTTTTTTAGGTTTTCAAGTTAATACGATTTCAAGGATATAAAAGAGAAAAAAAATATATGTACGTAATTTAAGTCTTTTTTTCCCAATATTAGAGATTAAAAATATTCTGAAACAAAAGACACAACATATTTACTTGAACACAATAACTTCATGTTAAAGATGAGTATCAAATTTTATTTTGATGCTAAATGACGCCATTAGAGGTCTATTTATTGCAGAATAAATTGTGGTTTATTCTGTTATATAGAAAGCATCATACAAGGTGAGTATATCACTCAACTATTAGGCTTACAGTGACTTATTTCTTTGCATCAAAACAATCAAATTTCGCAGAGAAAATTAATATAATACAAATTTTAGCGTATGAAGTAGTATTCATTCATAGGCACGTCTAGAAGTTGTTGAATAGTATCAGTTCTAGTTATAACCCTACAAGTACATTAACGAAATTTGCAAAATGAGATAGAAAAAAACTGTTAGATCTCTAATTAACATATCATAGTGTTATGATACTGAATCCTAAGCTTCTTCGAATTATTTATATTAAAAATTGTTGATGTACAGTCACCATACTCTCAATATGAACACATCTTATTTCTAGCTTCGTAAAATGTTTCATCAAATAATAATACTCGCTTTATTGATAATTTTTTGCATTCAATATTCATATGCAGGTATGTATTTTTCTATTTAAGTTGTATGTCTATCTATTGAACCTCTGTTTCTTATCTTTAGTTCGATGCAATGATGGAACAGATCCTTGTCAACTATTAACGGGCAGATTTTTCCCACCATATTACACGTGTTTTGAAGCTGAAAATGATAATGTCAATGTCTATTGTACATGTCCAGATGGACCAACAACTCTCAATGCACCTTGCCGTATGTATCATTAAATGATTAAAATAAAACATCACTATATATTTCCTAAACATGCCATGTTTTCAGGTATATGTAATACCGTCACTTGTGGAGTAGGTGCCACTTGTCTCGAACCGTTCACTGGCTTTGCAGGTTTATATTATGCATGTGGCTGTCGTAATAATACAGGATACTATGCAAATCCAGGACCTTGTCCAGGTCTGTAGCGACTCTTTTAGATGAATCAAACCGATTTTTCTCAAGAAATAATACGATTTTTTACCTGAGATTATATACATTATTGAATATTTTAGATGGTACAATCACCACTACCACAACTACCACAACCACAACTACCACAACCACTCCAAATCCCAGTGGTGGTGTGTGCTTGAATAATGGTGTCTATAATCCTCTAACAGGCACCTGCTTATGCGTCAGTGGCTTTTCCGGACCAAGATGTGAAATTTCACAACGTAAAATAAACTTTTTTGTATAAATATTATAGAGATCAATTATACATATGTCTTCATTCAGCATCTGCATTGTGTAATGGTATAACGTGTGCCAATGGTGGTGTATGTAACATCGTAAATTCTCAATCTGTGTGTTGGTGCTTATTGGGTAATATTTCTCGATTATAATCATTATTAAACTTTGTTCGTTCGCGCCTGTTTTCTGTTTTTAGGATTTTCTGGTGAATACTGCGAACGTATTGGTGAGTTCACTATAGTTGGAATGAAAATAGTTCAAGCTAGAAACTGTTTTAGCTTCAAAACGAGATGTTTTCCAGTTACCTACATCAAAAAATTCTACCAGAAATTACATAGTATCCTATTCTCATAGAATAACGTAGAAATTCTACCGTAAAATCATTTCGGATCGTATCATAGGTAATCCTATAGGATTCATAGCACCGAAATATTTGACATTTCATACAGGAATTCTACAAGAGGATCCGATCAGTTTCTTATGATGTAAAATAATAGAATTCCTACAGGACCCTGCAGCAGGAGAAGCAATAGACTTTTCACCATAAAAATCTATCATATTCTTATACAGTTTCCATTCATCGTTCTCTTTTGCAATAAGTAACAACTCCATATTAAAGAACGCATTTTACATAAAACTTTTGAGAAAGTTTCCTCTGTTTTCTACAGACGTATCAGAGAAAATAGTCTGATAGACATATCTGTCACATTGACCAGAGGATCCGGACTGGTTCCAATAAAAGTGAAACTAAAGGAAAGAAAATATATGAAACAAGGAAGAAGAATGACCCATATCAGAAGAGAATGAGCGGTTTAATTGGTCAGGATGCGCCGAAAACGTACTGAGAATTTCTAGTAAATTCTATTAATTCCTATCATAGTATCCTGTCAGGCTCTTTAAACTCTTATATTGATCCTACACGAATTCTATCATAGAAAATCAAAGGAATTTTTCGATGGACCGAACTTATGTCACTGTTTTATAGAACTCCTGTAGAAAATGGTAGAATCTCATAGGATTTCTATAATCAAATTCTTCGATTTGAATATTTAAGATAAATTTTATGAGTCCATATCATCCCATTCTAAAGCTCGTTCATATTCATCTTCCAGGTTGTATCTTCATTGTGGCTGAGAGTATTTCGTTTGTGCTATTTTTTCTAGGCACAAGCGGTTCATGCACTCCTGGACTTTGCACGAATAACGGAGTGTGTTCGGAGGTTAGCATAGGTGTGTCGAGGTTTGCGTATTGTACTTGTCGAGCTGGTTTCACGGGTAAAAGTTGTCAGCAAAGTGAGTAGTGTACACTAATCTTTTTCTTCTAAATACCAACCAATTTTTCATTACTTTAAGGCTATTTCACTTGTCCAATGGCCGGCATATTTGCCGATAGCGTTCAGTGCAAATTCGGAAAGTATTTTCAATGTACCGGTAGCCCCGGAGGCAAGTAGATCGGATGGAATGTGGACAGTTTTTAAATTATCATCTTTTTTCTAGCCTACACACTGACCACTCAGTCATGTCCAAAAGGTTTACGATATAATTTGATGACAAATCGTTGTTCAAACGATGTTACATGTCCGCCTTAAGAATAAGAATCAAGCCACATTATATGTTGTAATAAAATATTAATATATGTTTATTTTTATATGAATAAAAATGTAAATGGAGACTAAACGTCAAAATATTTTTTATCGTACTACAACCGAACTAAAATGAATCAGTGTACTTATTTTTGTTGATAATTGTTGATGTTAAACTTTGTAATTTAAAATAGAAAAAGTGAAAAAAAGAACGAAGTACCATCATGACGAGATCTTTCCTTTATTCTTTTTTGAAATCAAGTTTAAAAGAATTCCTCTAGTTTGGCTCTTTCACATTTACCTGAAATCTTCTACAGTACAATACGTTTCTGGAATACTAGGGATGTATCGAAAAAAAAACTATGCGGATATCTAAAGCACAATTCAATGACATGTCAGAAAAATTGAAACCAAACTTCAGCCTAAGTTTAAGATTTGACTAAACAGTGAATAACTTTCTCCTATACTTACTTGTCATTTCCGCTCGTTGATAGTGTCAAATAGAAATTTTTCAGAATTTATGTTAACATTCACAAAGAACAGCAGCAACAACAACATAAACACTCCAGAAAAGGAAACAAAAAACAAACAAAAGACAACCTTGACGAAACGATTGAGACAAAAGCACAAGAACAGAAGTTTTATTAAAAACAAAAACAAAAACAAACAAGAACAAAAATCAACATTTAGTATTTGAAGAGCATATACAGTTTCAATATTTATATGCGATATCTTGATAATAACTCAAGCACTTTTTCTACGTTACAACTGATAGGTAACGTTAAAAGCAATAATATTTTGGGTTAATAGTAGTGGATAACTGTTAAAACAGAAAAACAACGTTGCTCATTGATAGAACAAATTTTTAACATAAACGGGTGCATATTTGAATGAAAAAAAAAACCACCAGTGGGCACTGCAGTACATAAGATTATTAACTACTCGCTCGCAAGATGAAAAAGCATGATGTCTATGACAAAAACAAGAAACAGGGTACAATGAATAATATCAAAAAGCAACTTTTACTAGTATCAAAATTGTTACTTACTTATTTTAAATAACTTTCACATTGAAAATGTTTTTCATAAAAAAAGTTACTTTTGAAAGGTTTTTTGCATCCGTTATTATAGACATCAGTCGCCGAAGTCTTTTTTTTCTAACAAAGAATACTAAGAGAGAGAAACTTACATCATCAATTAACTAAAATTTTGCTAATATAATAAATTTCAACAGTTGGAACGAAAATGTATTGCGACAGATTTCATATTACATAAGGATACAAACTCATCTTGATCAGACACATTGAGTTTACTAAAAGCTATGCTATCTCGTATATTTCTTATTTCCAGTGAAAAATGACATTGACTATCGAGTAATTATAAATTCATTTGTATTGTATGAAAGTTCGATAGTCATTTCATTTCTATACGAGATAAAATTGTAACAATGACGCCAAAACCGAACGACTAATTTTGTAGCCACCATATCTGTGAAAAATGATGTGTTTATCATCACAAGTTTGGTATAAAAAAAAAGAAGAGGCGAAGATAGACGTGTACTACAAAATGAGAGGTTGATCTAGAGTTATCCGTACAATCAACTAGTATAAAAATAAGAAAATGTCTTTTAACTTTTGGTACTCAAAAGTCTTTAAAAACATATGCCATTATCACAAAACAGATATTTAACAAGCTGCTGTTGCTCACAAATCATGATTGACACATACATACAAAATGATAGCAAAAAAAACAAAAAACAGACAGGTGTTCATTCATTAATGAAAATTTTTCACATATTTTCATTCTTAAATCATCTCCTCTGAACTAGTTTCCATCGTTGCTATTGTTGTTGTAGTAGTAATGGTTGTATTATTCAATGAATTATCTTGGGTGCTAATGGAGGTATCGTCTTCTTCTTCATCATAAATAACAGTTCTCGATGTTAATTTTGGATCATGTTCAATTTCACCATTCGCTGTATTCTCTTCACCTTGCTCATCTTCTGTTGTGACAATACGTCTGGGTTGTTGAGCATTCATTTCTGATTCAATGTCTGGGACAGTTACTGATTCTTCTTCTTCTTCATCATTTCCTGTTAATACAATTTGACTTTTAACAGTTGGTAAAGTGAGTTCGGCTTCTAAAAATGTATCATCTAAACTTTCATCGACAACATCATCCGTTTCACTTATTGAACGTTTTCTTGTTGTGGTGAATTGTTGATCTTGTTCGTCAACCGGTTTTTCTAAAATTAAATGTAGCACATACATAGCTAAAACGTGTCTATTGAATAAGATCCTACGATAAGAAAACAATTGACAACCATAGTTGCTATTAACAGCTTGTTAGCTCAGATGATGTTTAAAAAATAATGGAAAGATTGCTACACAGAACATGTATCAGTTAAAGAATCAATGCAAGAATAATGATCTTTCATGAGCGCATACTTACCCAAGTCATCTAATTCTTTTTGAATACTTGTTTTATAATCTAGAATCTTTTGTTCAATTGTTTGTTTTTGTTCACTTAATTTTTGTTGAATAACGTCTAAATCTGTTCGTTTTGGTAAATAAAATAGCTGAGGTTCTGTTTTTGTTGGGATAAAATATTTTAAATTTTCTTGTGATTTTTCATACACGGCTATTCTTTCAATTAAATTTAATTTCGTATCTAATTCACGCAGTTTTTGTTGATATGAACGTTTTTTTATTAATAAATCTTGACGTTCTTTTTGTGCTACTTCTTTTTCTTCTAATTGTTTCAGTTCTAGACGCTTTTCAATTTCATGACGTTTAATACCTTGTTGTTGTTCATTGTACAATTGATTTTCTTGTTTAAATTTATTCAATGTACCTAAAATCGAGAAAGAATAATAGAAATACATCATTTAAAAAGATCACTTTGAAGTTAACTTGATAACCTACCTAATAACACACCAAACATACGTCTATTTCGCCTTGTTGATTCACTATCTCTATTAACCAATGAAATAAGATCATCTTTTGTTTTTATTATTTTATTTGTTGGAACAATTGACGAGTGAAGATATTTCGCTGATGTTGGTGATTGTTTATTATTTTGGTGATCAAAATTTGAATTATTTTCCCCTTCATCTGGAATAACAGAATGATCGAGAAGTAGAGTAGATGATGAATCGGCGTTCGTCGCTAATCGAAAACGTTTTGTTGTATATGATTGGGGAGTATTGGTACCGTTTGTTGAAAACGTTCGATTATTTGAAGACGCCGAAGTAGTAATACGAAAATGAGGCGGGACATAGTTGTTTTTTAAACGAGTATCAATCTCACGTAAACTAGACCACAATGATTCACGTTCACGTTTCAAATCGTCAGTTGTGACTAAAGAGGTCATGATGTTAAAGAAAATGAAATATTCTAAATAAATGAGAAAAAATTTATGAAGCTGAAAAAATAAACACACCAACGTTACAGATAGTTGCCTTTATTCTCGGAGATTTTGGGAGAAAAATCGATCGCAATACGTAATCAAAAACTCGGTAAGAAGAAAGACGATCAGATAAGAGACTAAAACAAGTTTTCTTTAAACCGAACTCTACCTTCTATGGCAGAGACTATAATTTCTTTTGTCCGTTTGTTTCGCGAATTACAATTCGATTTTCTAGGATGCGATTTGATTAGCTCAAATGAGCAACCAACAAGTTTCTGTCGACAATCCTCTACAGCCGAATAAAATTGTAATAAAATATTTTATTACATAGTATCTAATTTGAAGTAAATGCGCACGTCCGATCTACTCTTATTTTGAGCTTTATATCATATCTATTAGCGCCCTCTCCCGGTGAATGATAAAAATATTGCGTCACCTATACTTGAGAAAACATCTACTATTCGCTTAATAATTCCTATTTTCTAATCTGAAACAAATAATCATGGTGCTTTCTTCTAAGATTTGCATACACGAATGTATTGTGAGCACACTAGTTGATTAAATCAGTGAATAACTAAATAAATTTTTATTTAATTTTTTCATTACTTCACCATTTTAACACTTTCACTTTGTAACTAACTTGTTTCTTCTATAATGCAATACTTTTTCGTCTTATCTTTTTTTACTCATAATACAACAGTAGAACAACAATATAACAACAAAATGAAAAAGAAAAAAAACGACTTTTTTTCTTTATCATTATTTTTAAAAGAAAACAATAGTAAAAAATACGAGAAAAAGGAGTCGTGCTCACAAAAAAATAAATATAAATTAACAGAACTATAAATAAAAAGCAACGAACATATTTTTGACTGCTGAGAAAACGAAAAGCACAAAAAACATACAAACAAAAAAAACACCAAAAACAAAATTAATACACGTATAGCACAAAGAACAGAATATTTTATGCGGAATGCACCGACGCTGCTTGATTGACTAGTTGTATTAAAAGAAAATATCGTGAGAAAACAAAAATTAACTCAGATTCCAATTGAAAATTTTCTATTATGGCATCTAACTGAGAGAATTTTATCTTAGTTGCTCCTTCTATCTATATTCAATTTAAAAACACATTTAGGTGAGTAAACTTAATTAGGCTAAAATATTACAGAATGTAACGGACAAAATGGTCTACTTATACAAACTAATAAAAATGGATAAACTAAAAACAGCACAATAGGCCATTCTAAGATATGAGCACGTTTAACACATGTAATGGTGAGATCATATATCATTTTTAAAAAAATAACAAAATAACGAGACTCAAGATTGAAAAATATAAAATGTCAAAGCCGTTAAGCCACTTTTCAATATCCAATACTTTTAATAGTTTCTCTGAATAAATTTGTATACAACAACATTTCTGTCCTTTTGGAGTTTCTTAGTTGCTCTCCTCCAATGGCAGAATGTCGTTTTATACAAGTTTATTCAGAGAAACTATTAAAAGTATTGAATATTGGAAAGTGGCTTAACAATACTAGCTTGTTGTTCACATAAGTTTGAATGATTATCCATACACATATTTCACAAATCAGGATGTTTATCTAAACGAAAAACAGAAGAAGAAAATTGCGCTATTACTCATAAAAAAAATTAAAATTAGCTAAATAGAAGATAAGGAAATTTTGAAAAATCTCAAATCTATAATAGTGAATATACTCATTATTGAACGACTTGCCACGCATTAAGCTCTGCAAAGATGACAACTATTATTTGTAAAAAGACGCTAATATTATTTCTTGTTCTAGCCCCACATACCTGCTTCAATATCTTCCTTGTCATTTTTTGGCCTTTTTGATTGTTTAACAATATCATCATTATCTTTCATTGTTTCCGCTCTTTGTTGTTCAAATAATTTTTCGATATTATCCGCTTCTTTTTTCAATTCATCCATGCCATCTGTAGACTGTTTTGTGTCAGTTGATTTTTTATCACTATCATCTGTTTTGTTAGCATCTGTTGTTTTTTTTGATGTTGAACTTGTCGGTGGTTTCGGCGTAGATTTTGGTTTTGGTACAAAACGTTGAGCTTTATTAAGTAAATAACTGACTTCACGTTTTAAATTAACAATTTTATTTTCAATATCTGATGATAAATATTTTGGCGTATCCGTCGGTTTTGTACGTTCTTGTTCGAACAACAAACTATCACGCCATGTCTAAAAATAGAATTTTCAATAAGAATCACGATCATATCCGACTGCTTTCAACACCAAGCAGGTAGCGTGTCCCTTATCCATGAAAATTGATAAAATTTCAAAAGAAAAATCGGTTTATCAAACTTGCCTCTTTGTTCTATAAAAAAGAAATTTGTTTAACTCGAACCTATTTCTAGATAAATTTTGCTCAGAAATATTCAGCGTTTTTCATTCAAACTGTACGTACTTGTGTATCTTTGATAACTTTTTCTAATGATTTAACTTCAACATCCGTGAATGGTTGATCTTCTCCAATCATCATCTTTGCTGATTTCAAAAAATGTTCGGTTAAATTCAATGTTTCCTTTAATTCTTTTAATTTTACTGGACGTAGTTCTTGTTCTTTAACCCGAATTGTTAATGCACGTGTCAATGATTTCAATTCATCTAACTTGGACTTGAACGACTAAAATAGTCAACGTAAGTAAAACAAGAACGACAAAATCACGCAGCGTCTGCGAATGTAAAGACAAAAGAGGTAGTATTACTATGTTAAACAGACGTTTTAGTCGATTTATCCACTCAGATCTGACTTTTACTGTTATATTCTTTTACGAATTTGCTTACTCTTCTCTCAAAAAAAAACTATTGAAACCTAACGAAAAGAGATAGACACCACTGCGAAAATAGTAAAAAGGCGCCTCCAAACTATTGATGTTGTCATTCTTATGTAAAAGAGAATGTCTTAGAAACAAAAAATGATTTAGAATATCTGAAATACAATCAGCCTCTACTAAGTTTCACTGAATTAAAACTCTCTAAAATCGAACGTAGAAATGTCAATTCTAGTTAAAGCGAGACAAGTATAAGATATGTTGAAAATAGTCCAGCTATTTTCGACATGAGAGTTAGAAACATCTACATCGTCATTACAATTCCATAAATAATGAGACGGATTAACAAGTTCATACTATCTAAAGAATGGTTTAGACTGGAAGTCTAAACAATTTGACATAGAGGCTTTATTGCTATTGTTGAACTGCTCTGAAAGAATATGTCTACCAGTATTATTAATTTCTCTCAGAAAAAAATTCTTATGTAAAAGAGAAGACTTCTTATAAGCTTTTTGTTTGTTTGGTATACTTACTTTAACATCGGCTGTAATTCCATCTCCTTCCCAGAGCCATTCACTTATTTCTTGTAGTTTTGTTTGTATTGTTTCTAGGTCTTCTTTTGTTGATAATTTTATATATCGTTGATCATTTTCTACTTTGTCTTTCATATCATAAATAAACGCTTCTAAATTATTTTTAGCCGTTGCTAATTCATGCATTAAACGATCATTTGCATCTAATTCTCTCAATCTAAATGAATACAAATTACAGTAACTACAGAACTGACAGTTAAGAGCCAAGATAATACTTTTTAATGGATGAATCAATCATTGCCTGAGTTGGATCTACGAAATCCAATTGTTCAATAGTAAATTCTAATGGTTCATTTATATTAATTGATTTTGGTAGATGAATGGTGTTATTTTTAGCATTAGGAGATTCTAAATACAACACGAGAATGGTTAACGTCAAACATACAAAAAACTTGAATGTTCATTACATCAAATAAAAAATCTATATCAGTTCTTACCTGTTCCACTAGCTTTATCACCATTGGTTGCTGTAGTATTTGTTGCTGAACTCTGAGAAAAAAAAGATGAGTATTCTATATTTTTCTTAAGCACTATTTATAAAAAAGTTATACCATACCTCCTTATCTTTTTCGGCTTCTTTGTCATGTTCATTGTCTTGTGTTTTCGTCGACGATGTGGGTAACGTTGTTGTTGCTGTATTGTCTGTTGTAGAAGATTCATTTATCTCCTCTGCACTAGAGCCACTAGCAGTATTCTCGTTTTCTGTGGGCTTTGGCTCTGACTCATTTTCTTCTTCAGATGTACTGCGTTTTCCACCAAAAAAACTAGATATTTTATTACCCAATTCTAGAAATTATAAAAAGACGTAATTAAAATATTGTAAAAAAAATTGTTATGCGTACAAGTGAATACAGTCGAAATGAATCTTCTAACGCTATTTTTTCATAAAGTCCATCCGTTAAGGATTAAATACTCTAGATACTCCGCCACCGAAAATACCAAATACTTTTACTGATATAAATTGTATATTTTAAAATAACAAGCAAAGCGATACGATATTGAATAGTTTTAATCTAATATCCGTTTGCGATAATTAGATAGTGTATGTTTCGCACAAGCTTCTATTGAAAAGTCACTAATTATTAATAATTCGAGTAGTTATTTAGTAATTTGGTCAGTAGGGAGGGAAAGAAAAAACTTTTTTTATTTCTCCTATAGTGCAAAACAGGCATACGACGAAATTTTACCAACTTTTCAACATGAAGAATGTGGAGGTAGTACCTGAAATCGCGAGAACAAATAACATAACGAACAATAAAACTGTATTAAATATTTGTTATTTTTCAACGTTATATTTTAACCGTATTATTTTTCTCTCATACATTGACTTCTTTCAGTTTTTGTGTTAAAACATACTTGATAATGTTGATTTCTCTTGATCTCCATCACCAGTTTTTTCGTCCGAAGTTGTTTCTACTCCTTTTTTTCCAAAAACAAATTCAACCTAAATAAAAAATAGTATCATTAAAAATAAATTCACTATTTTATTCAATATTAAAACTCACTCTATCGAGTACAATCAGACAATTTTCATCTAATCTGAAATGTGCTTTAACTCCTTTTGATTCGGCTGTATCTTTATGTTTTTGATAAATGTGTCGAGCGCCTTTCACATTTACTTTATACAAATCTGTATGATCAAGAATTCTGAAAATCAAAACATATCAATATTGATTATATTTGAATATTATAAATAAAAGTCATGTACTTTTTATCTTGTTGTGATAAAAATGGTAAATCTCCATAGTGTACTTTAAAATCAAAATCGTCAATGTGTCTGTTGAATGTCATGACTTTTCGTTGTGGATACAAATTATTACGATTAAACAATGTACGATCGACCAATTTTGACGATAACTCTGTAACATCATTGGATAAATGTCGTTCAAATTGAACATTAATTGGATATTGATTTAAGTCTTTAATAGTAAACTTTTTAACACGATAACCTTTAGACAGAGCAGCTGCTTGATAAACGGCACCCATTGCCGCCGCTTCATCCGTATTGATACTTTTACCCAATTCTTTTCTAAAAAGATAAAAGAAATGTAATTCAGAAATATATTCAGAAATAGACTCCTACTGTTTAACAGCTTTCGATAATTCATCTTGAACTTTTGGAATACGAGTTGAACCACCGAATAATATAACTTGTTGAATTTCATCCTAGAGGACAAAAAATAAAAGTATGGAAGATTATGATTAAATTAAAATTGCCTAAATTTTTTTAGGAGCTGTAGGACATGACCTATCTTAATACTAGATATCTTAGTTGAAACTGTAAAATGGTAATCCCGTCTCTTGCATCCAAAATACTTTTAAATAAATTACGGTTTTTTTAGTTTAACGAATTTTACATTCTTTGAATAATACGATTACTAAACTCAAACCGAATAAAGAGATTTGAGTTTTTCATCTCATTTTAGGACAAAATAAACAAAAAAATCTTCAAATTCTATTTTCTTACCAAACGATCAGAATCTTCAAACGCTATCAATTTTCTGTTAATAACTTTTTCTTATAAAGCTTCAATACTCTAGGGCATCTTTTAACAAACATCTTTCTTTTAAATTGTTAATTTAAGAGATAAGATTTGCGAATAAAAATATCATTTTTGCTTCATCGTGCTTTATGTTTGAAGTATGTAAAAGTGGCAAGAACAGACATACAAGACGATTCGCACAATATTAAGACCTTAACACTATGCCACAGGCTCATTTAATATTTACTAATATTCAAAACAGTCAACTTTAAGAAATGAATCAAAAAAACATAAACGTTCATCAAACGCTGCCAAAAATGTACTCCTCGGTTTCTCTTCTGACGATCTTTTTCTTTTGTGTAACTTGTGTTACCAGTGGAACTTATAACTGGCATAATAAAAGATTTCCAAAGTTACTCAGAATTATCAATTATTTCTATCAAATATCGTGGAACAACATCGTTAAATAACATTCATCATAACCATAGATACATATACTATTATAAAGACGAATGAAAGTACAAGAGGAGAATTTATCAACCGATATTTTCTATCTAATTCTTCAACGTTATTCGCCTTGTTAACTTCTGACGAGAGTATCTCATAACGAGTTTATTTGACATACTAGTTTGATAACGCCACTTTGTACAGATACATCGAGTTACTTGTACAGAAAAGTTTTTGGGAATAACAGATCAATTTTCTTAGAAAAAACAATAAACTGCAATAAACGTTGAGAAGCTCATGTTTGACATGAAATTAAGGCTTGAAAATTGTATAGTTCGAAGAAAATTGATCCATTAATCCAAACCTTATCAACGCGAGTAACTTATCAGTATGAAAAACTATCTATGGTAAAGTTCAAAAGAAATGCGCTGACACTTGATGACGTCATTTTGCACTATTACTCTTGGAAATAATAAATACAAATAGTTCTAGAGAAGTTCTTGCTTGCTATCACTTGCGATACTGATTGTATTGTCTGATCTCCATCCTTCAAAACTCTTTGATTGAAACGACCCAATAATACCAATACTTCTAACTGTAAGAATGAACGTTTACCAACCTACCCGACACTTACCAGTGTGATCCCACTTGTTTTCAATACTTCTTCAATCGGTAATTTCACTCTTTTAAATAAATCCGAACATATCGTTTCAAACTGATCGCGTGATATTTTATGTTTAAAATCAATATCATTAACTAAACCTTCTACCTATAAGAAAATATAACATATTCAATTCCTTTTCTAATGTACTGTCATTCGTTTTACCTGAGCTGTATATTCCATATTTGCACTCAATACATGTTTGGCTCGTTCAGCTTCTCTAAACAATTTTGTTAATGCTCTTGGATTTTCCATTAGATTATATTTGTTTTTATGCTGCTCATGAAATTTTTTCACTAGAAAGTCTCGAATACGTATTTGAAATTCTAATCCACCTAAATTTCGATCAAATCCAACACCTTTCACTGTTAATTGCGGTATATCTTCAAGAAACCCATTTTCTTTTGATTTTACTATTTGATATGTGACAATAGTAGCCGTTGTACTTTGTGAGCCCATATCGTAGAACATGTACGTTGAACCAGTTTGATTAAAATCTTTACGGCGAAATACACCGTAGTTGAGAGCTACGGCCGTATTGTCATTCATTAATTGTAACAACTTTATTTGTGCTAAATCACATGCACGTTTGATTGAACGACGTTCACTTTGAGTGAAATAGGCTGGAACGGTGATTACTGCAGAATCAACGGGTTGTTCAGCAAAATCCGATGCATATTCTTTGGCTTTTTTCAAAATCATTGATAATAACTCTTCAACAGTATAATTCGTACTTCTAGAAAAACAAAAATTGGCACACACTTCCACTTTCTTATGTTTTTCTTAACCTTAGCATTATCAATACAGACACATGCCTCAGAAGTAAAACTCTTTCACAATTAAATTATTTGCTATGTTATTCAGAGCTGTAGAATCTGCCTGTTTGCTTCGACGGTCGTCGGGGGAAAATTTATTGATTCGGGGAAATCTTATTGAAAAATTGGAATTCCTTTTTGGCAATATATTGTAAAAAGAAATTCTGTTGGAGAATTTTTTGACAAACTTTTTCCGTCGGTGGAAATTTTCCAATCTCACGGGTAGATTCTGCATCTCTGATGTTATTCTTGAAGCAGGGCGTGATCCCAAAATATAAATATTGACAGGTTGAGTTTTTCGTTACGCATGTTTACAAAATATTTTCGATTACTAGTCATATGAAATTTAGTATCACTTAATGGATTAATTATCTGCTAAACAGATCTTTGATCAGTATCTGCTACAAATACAAACTCTCAGTAATGATTAAACTCTTATTCACAGAAAATAATTTGTTCATACTTGTCATGCTGAAATATAAGTTGTTTTGAATATGGATCTGTTTTAAGTTGATAATATGGAAAACGCTTCAAAAATTGTTCAATAACTGGATTATCTATAGTTTTACCAACTAATTCTGTTAAATACATGTAAGACGTTTGAGGAGATTTCATTGACTAGAAAGAAAAAAATATCATATATAGTAAGTAGTGAGATTGTATACCATACCAAATATATCTACTCACTCTTGATACAGCTGCATCGCCAAATTCACGATCTTTACCTTTAATAGCAACAATAACGTGAGTTTTACGACGACTTTCTCTAAAAAATTCAATTTTCTTTATAAATTTAATTTTAAAAGCAACCATATTCAAATAGACTTTCAAATCATACGCACTTGTTTAACGCAATTTCCATGGGTATTCCTGGTTTAACGATAGCAATTTTAACAAATTCTGTTCCCAAATCAACTGACATAACAGCTAAAGAATCTAAACAAAGAAAGATCCTTAGTATCATCGAAAGCTGACTTTAATTTGATTTTTAGGTGACCAACGAGACCTAAATATACTTACTGGACAGATGACTCCATGATAACATTAACAAAACGGTGGTAACCAGATGATGATACATGTTGCTGGAAGAGAAAATAAATATCTAAAACGAAAAAGGAAATGAAATAATACATAAAACAAAGATGCATATTACGATTAAAAAAAGAGAGAGTAGAATAGACAAATCAAAATAAATGTCAACAATTTACTGCTGCAAAACACTTGTTCATATACAAAAAAAGGTTCTGTACAAATACACAAACATTTGAAAATCCATCATCAGATTACGTTATACCGATAAAAAAAAATGAAAAAAGCTGCAAGACTAGATAAATAAAGAGTACTGAATCTTATTGCTTTCAGAAGAGAAGAAATGAAGTTTTTTCTAGCTTCAAGCGAAAGATACACAAGAAGCTCTTCTTTATCGGATAGAAAAATACTCTGAATTATGAAGAAAATGCCGATGGAGTCAATATTTTGTGTATAAATCAAAGCAACTTAAACTGCTACTGTTTTTACTATTTTTTTCATAGGAAAAGTTTTAGTAGCAACAACAAATTTGATGAATACTAGAGTAACGTAGTCGTAGAAGTTTTTTTAGTCAACGACACCGAAATATTTTTAACCTAACAGATACAGTCATACCACTAAGAAACATGAGGGGATCCTTCAGTTTACTATCTTACAAAAAAGAGTTTTTCATCTACAAAACAATAAACAAGCGTTGACATATTAATGTGCTTTCGTCATGTAACAATTTGCTGTTCTTCCGACGAAATCGGTGGCTGTGGTGATGTTATTATAGCTTCTTGTTGAATCATTTCTCGAGAAGGATCAATAGATATTTGTGTTGTTGTTTCTGCTTCGGTATGAATTGTATTATCTTCATTCGTCGTAACTGCTGCTGGTACGACTGGTTGCATTGTTGGTTGCTGACCTAAAAAATATAAATCAGTAATTAAATATCTCTTTTATTCACAATTTTTGTTCGTTTAGTAATACTGACCGTTTTTTACTTGTTGTGGTAGTTGATACATGTAAAATTGCTGCTGTTGTAAATCCTTCAATCTTTTTTCTAACTCTGATTTTTCATATTGTAATCGATCAACATTCATACATAGTGACATTACTTCTTTTAATAAAGCACTACGACTAAATGTATTATATCTCTCATATCGACATTGATAATAAATATCATTAAAATCATCTTCATAATTCAATTTTCCTTCTTCCATATCTGACGATTCACCTTCACCTGATGTTGTTGATATACAATCATCATCAACATCATCAAATAATTGTTCAAATGAACTATGAGGAACTGATGGACCTGAAGTGACAAAAAGAAACAAATGTCTCAACTGCAAGCGAGAAAGAAACTTTTTAAACTCTAGCACACTTCTGTTATTTTATAAACAATCTGGGAGCATGAAGGGTAAATTTGTTATTTTAGTTATTATTAACGTTATCTGTCGAAAAACTCAACAAACGGGTCGATCTAACTATCAATAAGTATCATACCTGAAGTCTGTTGTTGTCCTTCTTGATGTGTGACTAGTGTTTGATTGCCGGTACCATTGTTCAGTGTTGGTGTTTTTCTGTTATGATCTTGAATAATAAACTGTGTTGTATTAGAAGGTGCCAAAACATTGCCACATCTCAATAATTTTTCTTTATCACGTTTGACTTGTTCAAGATGTAGTAATTCATACTCGGCCTGCGACATGCCTGGCGGAGTACTCATTATTAACGGAGTTCTTGCTTGTTGAGGAGTTTGAGATTGTTGTTGGGATTGCTGATAACGTTGGCGATACGGATGTTGTGGTCGAGGATAGGGATGATAGGCGTTCGGGGCTGGAGCAGCTAAATGTCGATAAGGACGATTTGTTCTACCACGTCGATTATGATTACGATGATTACGAGAACGATTATTTTGCTTTGGATTTGAATTATTTTGATTAAAATTGTTGTTTGGGGCAGTCATTAGTTGAGGTGGAGGATGACGATTTAACGGATGACGCATACTACCGTTAACAAAACTCATCAAAGGAGGTGGTGGAGGATGGATTGAACCTAAAATAAAAGATTTCAATAAATAAATCCTATCTGGTTCTATCTTTTGAAAAATTGCTGTATACGAGCATTGAGCTATGGGAAATTAGATCTTACAAAATGACGCGGAGACTGCAAGAGGAAGTCCATTTTTCTCATGAAAGTAACCTGATTCAACCTCAAATAAAATAATTGTTTTTGGAAGGAACTCATTCTCTTCTAAGATGGAGAACATGTTGATTTAACTCAACGAAAGGAAAGAATGTTACTTATTGCCATTTTTTGTGACAGTCCTTATCACTATATTATTTGTCTGTGAATTATTTTTATATCAATACATTTGTTTGTTCAGCATATGTGTTACCGTTATGTTCTACCTGTGTTTTATCGCGATACATATAGAATAAGACCTTATTCTAGCTAACTAAAATAAGGAAAAAATGGCATCGAATGGAATTAACTGGAGCTGACAGTTAAACTGAACTGAGTTGAACTGACACGTTTTTCAAAGATTATGTATTTTTTTGAATCTTTCCTTTCCCCAAATAATACTAAACATCGAACACGTTCGTATGGATTGGAGAAAATGTGATGCTGTTACCGTCATTTTCTGTTTGCATTGTATTCATTCTTTTGTATGATGTTAACTGAACCGTGTGAAATCTGCAATATAAGATGAATTTAAAGCGAAAGCATCGAAGCTTGTGAAAAGTACATAAAAATGCGGCTGAGTTGTACAAAAATTAATAAACTCTTTAATGAATTTATTAGTTTTCTTTCTCAAATTATATATTGTAAGGATGAGCACATGTGTGGTAATACAAGACAGAAATGTAGGGTTGTTTCCCGCTAGCCGTCAAAGATGGCCGTAAGGAGCCACTTTCTACATGAAAAGACGTAGAAAGTGACTCCTGAAGGCTATCTTTGACGGCTACCGGGAAACAACCGAAATGTAGCTCAATCGAACGCGGGCTAGCAGCATTTGCGAATTTTGTCCAATCGAAAATCATACAAAGTTCTCTATAAAAGAGCAGTTTCGCACTCTCTTATTTATCTAATTAGATGAATAACTAATTATGTATTTGTTAACGAATACACAATTGGTTATACGATATTAAACGAATTTTTCCATAATTATTTTTCTGAATATACGCTTCACCGTTTCCGATATTCTCTAACCTATTATCGGATACAAAATATAGTGTGCTCCGTCGATTTCTGAAAAGAAATAAAGACATGCGGTTTTCACTGTTGTATAGAGGATGCCAGAACACGTATTTCCGTAAACAAAAATTTTCAAAATCCGTAGGACATTTTGAGGACCTTGGGAAAGGCAGTCTGGTCCTCCAAAGATTGAAGTGACAATATACTAATCGTCCTGCGCGGTAGATAACCCGAATTCTCCTCTTCAAAATGGGAGTCAAGCAAGGCCGTGATGTTCAGTGATTCGGGCGTGAGATCGGATTTCCTTGTAGTCCAAGGACTGATACCCAGTGACTTCGAGTAGTCGTGAAATCGCATGAAACATACGTAATTGGTAATGCTAAATCTGGTAGCAATGTCTGTTTTTGAAGAAGAATCCAAAAACGTGATGAGAACCGAGTTTTATGAAAATTAAGGATTATGACTTACTCGAAATATTGTACCAGAATACTCGGCGAATACTCAATCAATACTACTTGAGTACAACTTTACACAAACCGAACGCTCAAAGTCTGCTCTCCAACATAACATACGGTAAATCCATGCAGGTTTCCAGTGAAAAGTGGAACGACACTATTTTCAACTTGATTTTGATACCATATTTAAGAGGACAACGAGAAAGACCAAAACATGAAGAAAACTATCATATACTTTTTAAGATTTCATTCGATACTACATGCAAAACTGTGATTATGAAATTTGTTTCCGATTTTTAGACCTCATATTGACGAAATTATAGAATTATTAAGCTGAGCCACCAGGAAAATCGAGCAACAAACGTCATCTGCAGTATTTGCCATTTTCTGTCTCACGAGGGAAGGACACCAACTGATAAATCGCTTTTGAGCCGTAAGGTAGTGGACAATAGGTAATCAAGTGCACTGAATCCGAATATGGCAATCGTTTCGGCCCATAGCCCTCCTGAGACCGGATTTCT